TATTAACATTATTATTTTGTAATTTGATATGTTCATCATATGTTGCAACAGAAGTACTAAATGCATCTGTCTAACTGACGAGCTTAACTGGGGCTTATTTGTGGGATAGGGCTAATATTACGAATGTCTGAAAAAAATCATGCTAGGGTTTATTTTCCAGTTTTGGGAAAAATACAGTACCATCAATATGATTGATTGGTGTTGATGGTGACCTTAAATATCTGGCTGAGATAGTGTATCATTCTAATCACATCAAGGGTACTTACTAACACTACTAACTGTTGGTGTTGACTTTGATCACCTGAGAGAGATAGCATTTGTCAGATTTTTTTGCTGTAAACTTACTGTTTCCCTCATTTTCCATATTGTACTCTGGAAGGAAGTCATTAGGAAGGGAAGTTTTGTCTCTTCTCTCCTATTTATTTATTTACTCAAGTACTTATTTATATCAGTATAGACATGAATATTTTATTCTTTTGATTCTAATCGATATAACTTATTTTGTTGCTCAAAGTTTTCCAGCTTTGTCCACTGGGAGCTCTTTCAATTGGCCTCTAATCCTTTTGTCATATTCCCATCAATAGGAATTTTTAGCACTTCATTACTTTTTTGGCATTGTAAGATGCTCCAGGCTCATCTCGAATATTTCCTGCCCCAGTTCTAGAATGAATCATTTGATCCTTTTCTTCTTTTCTTTCTTTTTTTTTTTTTAGGAATTTTATTAGAAATCAAAATCTTGGTGCTGAGTGTGCTCCTGCTACTGGGGTGTCATTGCTTCAAGCCCCTCTGAGCTAACAGGGCAAAACAACTTGGTGTATGTTAACCTAAGTGTACACATATGTCTATAAATATTTATATATGTAATAATCTGTATATATAGTAAGCTAAAAGATTAGTTCATATGGATGTCTCCAACTCTAATCCATTACCACCTGGATCACTCTAGGCTCCTCCCTTTGCTTTCCTGTAGATTCCTACCATAGCAGTGAGAAACCTGGCCTCCACCATCTACCATCTATTTAAAAATTTGTTCAATTCCAGTATACATGTGCATCAGAATCAGAATTGTTAATCTGGAGCCCTGTATATATAGTGCCTATGTGCAATTACTTTTGTTTTTTGTCATATGAAATCCAATCATTTCCTACATTAGTAATATTAGCAGCTTCGTATCCCCTTCTGTAAAGCTGTTTCATACATTTGTACTACAGTCAAATTATTTTACCACAATGTCCAATCTATCCTAGGTTTCCTACCTGTGGACTTTCAACAGTGAGATACCTGTCTCATATTACCTAATATTTTAGTCATTTGCACAAACCTAGAACACACAAATAATTTCAAAGTTATTAATCCTTACAATTACACAAGCAAACCTACTAAATAAGGTTCAATACTTGTTTGTTAATTATTATTTTCTTCTGAGATAAAATTTGCATACAATAAACTGGAAAAATCTTAGTATCTTAGGTTCACAGTTAGGTGAATTTTTGAGCAATCTATCTATCTTCATATCCCGCAATCACATTAAGATAGAGAATACTTCCATCACCCCAGAAACTTCGTGTCCTTTCACAATGAATTCCCTCCTCTAGAAATAACCCCATCCTGATTTTCTTTTCACCATAGATTAATTTGTCAACTCTAGAACTTCATATAAATGGAAACATACAGTATGGGATATTTTGCATGTGGCCCTTCTCATTCAGAATAATGTCTGTGAGATTCATCTGTGTTGTTTCTGTAGCCTTTTCATTAGTTAGTGGTTTTCATGAATGAAATCAAGCCAGCAGTGTGCTAGTAAATGCTTAACAACCAGCTCTCTGAAGCAAATAAAAAAGACTGGAATTGTAGCATTTGCTAATCTTTGTACTGTAAATACTCCCATGGCCTGTGTCAAGCTACTCTCAGAAAATTAACAAATGGTCCCTGAAAGCCAGTATGAACCAGCTCCAGCATGCCACAGAAAGCACAAGCTAGTGGTAGTCCATCAACAAATCAGATAAACCCTTTATTGTATTGTCTTCTGTAGTATTCTGACAGGCATTTTGCAGGAATGTAAGTCATAAAAGCCTTCTGATAATAGTACATCCAGTCAAACACAGCGGGCCTATGCCAGCTACTCCTAGATTCACATTTCTGAAAGATTTGCTGTCTTCTCTCTATCTTTTGACTATGTACTTGAGAGTCACGCCTTGTATCAGTGAGGGTTTCATAAAAAATTGCGGTAGACTCAGCCCACTGAAGTTTGGGACCTTGATTAAGTCTGTGGAGTTCAGTCTTTTATGAAACACTTTTATAGAGCTACTCCATTTATGGAGCTAGTAATCCAAACTGCTGGAATTAGGAAAATGTATCTGCTCACTTCTGCCTCTGGCAAGTGACATAATAAGGGTTATGTACAGCTGCAATTAGATAAAAGAAGGGAGACACATCACAGTTACGTTGAAATTTTCAAAAAAAAAAAATGGTCCAGAGAAAAATCCTCGGACACTTGAGCAAGCAAGAGCTCTTTCCGAGAATCTTTAGCTCACTAAATGCCTGTGGCTTTGACGAAGAACATTCAAGGCAGGCTTTTCTCCTTGGCTGCTTCTACTTTATATTTTTCTACTTGCTTTTTTATAAAGATGCTCAAAGTCAGAAAAAGAGAAAGAACTGTAACAGGGGAGGAGAATGTTTAAAGATCCTCCTTCACATGCGAGTTCCTTTCTACTGCAGAGCTGCATGACAGAGTCACTTGAGTTCATTAGACTCTCTTCAAAACAGTATATGAAAAAGAAAACCTTCTTTTTACCATACCAGTCACTGAATATGGCTTGTATATTTATAGGTTAGTGTGCTATCAGGGCCTTCTGAAGTCTGATGAAGTAGTATAACAAGCAGCTAATGCAATCCAAAGACCTTGACCATCTCACAACAATGTTGCTTGATGAATATAAAGCAATAGTTTCCTCTCTGCAATTCAGCCTTTACTAGAAATCCTATTTTGAATATAATTTCTCTCTGGTTATTTCACTGCCATCATTACTGAAATCATAAGCCCCGCTTAGGTTGTCTGTCTCTTTCTATTTCTCTTTGGATATAGTCTGTCATCAGACCATGTGTCCTTGTTTCTTATGCCAAGACCATGATCATTATGTCTTAGTATTAGGTTCCAGAGCAGCAGCTTTTGCCTCCCTCACAATGGAGGATCCTTATCCTTGAATAACTTGAAATAAAACTAGGCTTAATGACAGTTGAATGTTCCTGTTGCCCTTAACCCTATGCTCCATGTAACTCATATGCTTAGGCCCAAAAACACTTCTTTTCTTTGTTTATTCTTGTTAAACAGGATTTCCTTCTTTATCCCACCAGAAAAGGAAATTCCACCCTTCTCTGACCAACCAAATGGCTTACATCCCATCTCCTACAAAGTCCTCTTTTCTAGATGCAAAGATGACACCATGAATTTTCTATTTATAATATTCTCTAGTCATCTCTTGTCTCCCTTTTTCCCCTAGATGCCACCATAGATGAGCTATGCTGGATGTCAAAGGCCTGTCTAAGTTCTGAAATCCATGAAATGATAACTCAGGCTGGGTGGGCAATGAATGAACAAACAAAAGGTACAAAAGATGTTCTCAAGATCAAAATACGAAGCCTCTCCTGTCAACTTCCTTTTCTCCACACAGCTATCCAGAAGACTGGCAGTAATGTGGTCTTGTGTCTGTGCATCAGCCACAGTCCACAAATTATTGTTATTATTTAGAGAAGTCCACATCTCCAGCCCCCGTCTGCTAACTCAACACGGTTTGCACCCTCTCATTTTTTACTCCAGCACTGGGTTTCCTAAAGATATCAATGTAAAAGTCCTGGCAAAAGCTTTCCACAACAAGTCTCACTCCATATTAAACACACACACACACACACACACACACATTTTCTATCTTAGTTTAAATCTATTTTGGACATTTGACCACAGACTTTCATGTTTATATGCTGAATTTCGTTTCACCTGAGTTCCTATTGCATTTTTAAATTCCTCTTTTTGCTGGAGTGCTGCCACATCATTATATAGCATTTTCTGCATGAGTATCTTGAGGGCTGAGCCTAGGCCCTACCTGTCTTGATCTTCAGTATTTAGCACAGATTTTCTATAGATCATTTACACAAATGTTTGCCAAATTGCTGTTAAATATTTCCATACAACCCAGTGACTGGTTTAACTGTGAGTTGCTCAAAAGGAAGGAACTGCGTCTGCTTTATTTTCTACACAGAACCTAGCACAGGCAATGAAGTATTTAATACACTCTTTTGAAAGCTGATGCTATAATTTATAATTTATCTCAACTTGCACTGCCTGTCTATACTTTCTATGTGGTTTTCTTTGGTTTGCCATACATATTTGGAGACAGATAAGAAAACCAGAAAGGCAAGGACATCTTACCTGCTATCTTTTAAAGCCAAACAGGAGCAATCATTCTCTGTAACCTCTCTGTTATCTCCTTTGGAAATGAACATCAATGACCTTGATTTTAGATGAGAAGTGAATGACACTAGGACCAGACAAAGCCTTAATAGATGATTGTGCCCATTTCACCAGCTCCCCCAGGCCACCTGCCAGCGCAAGGGAAGAACATACAGTAACCCTATCAGTCAGCTCCACAATTAGAATGAATTCATAAGAAACAAAAGATCTTGTTTTCATGGGAAAATATCCTTTGTGATATTCAACAAAGGGAGAATAATTTTGAAAGCATGTGACTTGGGGTCCCATCCTGCAGTTCTTGCACAGACAAAACTCTCATTGACTCTATCAATAGAATTGTTGCTACATAAAAAGTGTTTTGCAAAATTTCCATGATGCTTCAAAGCACATTTTAAGTGCATCAGCCCCAGTATCCCACGCCCTCCCCATTTTAATAAAGCTGGAGAAGGTTTCTCTTAGATTGCCCTATTGTACAGCAGGAGACAAACATAGCAGAGGATCAGAAGCCAATGGATACCCCCACCCCCAACCCTGTATATATCATCATACCAAAATCCATGGCAATGTAGAGAAGGTCAAATTTCAACTGGATTTCTGAGCTTGAATTTTCCATTTCAAATTGCTCTTGCTAGGTAGACAGAAAATGAATTTCTTGCAGGCTTCAATAAATACCATCTCCAAGTAAAATCCACATTTTTCAAATAGATAACAGTATAATGATTGGTATTGCTATTCCAGCTATGGTTGAATAGCAAGCAGTCCATTCCTTTTCATGTAGTATGCTCCTTAAGAGTCTCAAAAGATGAAACTGGGCCTTCAATACTGCTAGAATGAAGGACAATGGGCCTGATCTCTTCTTTTGAATTCTTTTAGCAAATGTACTGGATAAAATAGACAAAGCTAGGAAACACTTCTCTTCTCAAAAAAAATAATAACAGGAAAAATCTGTCATAATAGGTTATCCATTCTTACCTTTACTGTGTTCTCACAATTGATGCAATTTTAATAAGTACCATATTCTTAAACTAAGAAAAAATTAATTCATGAGCTTTTACCCTAAAAATATAATGCTAATAATTCCACAAATGGGTACAAAAGAAAATTAGGGAGATGGAAGTCTCTCTCCTGGAACTTTTATGAACCAGAAAGACCTTTACTAGCCTGATATACTATAGGCCAGCAATCAGACTCTCTGGGAGATATAATCAAATTATATGACTACCCAAAGGAGAAAATTACGATGTCATCTTGAAACCTAAAGACAGGTATTTATGACATATTTTCTGATCATACACACTACACACATATGCACATGACGTCTGGCATACATTAACTGCACACTTATTCTGAAGTCATTTCATATTTATGTATATTGTCTTCTTAGAAAAGGAACATAAAGCAGAAACTATGTTTTCAATCTCACTTGTATTTTTTCAAAAATTATAATATTAATTACAGAAACAATTAACACGTGTGGAGCACTTAACACTGTATATATCAGATGCTCCTCCAAGTGTTTTGCATATAACATGCCATTTAATAATCATTACAAGGCAGGTGCACAGGCCTCAGCCAAAGGCCTGCCCAGATACCATTGGTAAATGTGCACAGGCCCTAGCACAAGGTTTCCCAGACAACAGCAGTGCAGGCATGCAGGCCACAGCCAGGGGCCTGCCCAGACACCAGCAGCCTGGGCGCACAGGCCCCAGCCAGAGGCCTGCCCAGATACTGTCAGTAAGTGTATGCAGACCCCAGCCAGAAGCCTGCCAAGACAACAGTGGTGTGGGCACATGGGCCCCAGCCAGAAGCCAGCCCTGACAACAGCTACAGAAGTGTGCAGGCCCCAGCCTGAGGGCTGCCCAGATACCACAGGTAACTGCATGCAGGCTCCAGCCAGAACCCCACTCAGACAAAAGCAGTGCAGGGATCCAGGAGGCCATCATTCTGAGCCTAGGAATTGGAGCAGTCATGAGCAGTAGAGGGAAGGACTCTCTGAGACTTGTTGAGAATTGCAGCCCACTGGGAGAGCAGAGTCACTTCAATAAAGCCACAGCAGACTGCAGCGGTAGAAATGAGAAGACATCTAAATAAGACTCAACACCAGACATCTAGATCACCAAAGGTAACCCCAAGGAGGAACTAGATGGAACAATTTGAAATTCAACCACCTGGACACCCTGAACTAGCAATGAAAGAGGATCTGGAAAAATAAAATCAGAAATAATTCCTCAGATAACAACAGAGATGGTGTCCATAGTGAAAGACATGATTAACAACTCTGGAGTAGACACAGATAAAAAAAAAGGAGTTCAGGAATATGATGGAATTCCAGCATAGGAAATAAATGGAATCCGTAAAACAGACTCAAACAGATATCCAGGATATTAAAAACTCCATTGAAAGTTGATACAGCAGAATGAGCCAATGTGAGGACAGAATATCAGATATAGAAGACAGGATTACAATTAGTAACCAGGAAAAGAAAGATTTCTTAAGAATAGCAAGGGACCATGAGAAATCAATGCACCAGCTGCTCGATGATACAAAGAAGAATAACATAAGACTAATCAAAGTCAATGAAGAAACAGAAGATAGTGCAAACGATATTAAAAAACTGTTCACACAAGTAATGGCAGAAAATTTCCCAAGCAGGGGGAAAGAATTTGACAGACAGATAAGTGAGGCATATAGGACTCGAACTAGTCGTGATCAAAGAAACAATCTACACCTAGGCATATAATGCTCAAGATTCCAGAAACACAACAGAAGAAAAAGATCCTATAAGCAGTTAGAGAAAAGAAATAAATCACATACAAAGGAAAGCCCATCAGAATCACACCAGATTTCTCAACACAAAGCCTCAAGGTAAGAAGAGCTTGGAATAAAATATTTCAAGCCCTAAAAGAAAGCAACCTCCAACCCAAATTGATGTACCCTGCAAAACTATCTTTCAAAATCAATACAGAAATAAGATATTTTCATGACAAAAAACACCGAGGAACTTCATGAATACCAGACCAGCACTCAAAAAAATTTTTAAACAATTACCTAGGAAAAGACAATGAAGGTCACAACTGATGAAGCCCAACAGAATGAATCCATCAGGCATTTAAAAAATTAAATGCAAAGGAGGAGAATCCAAAACAGGAAAAGGTCAAGACAAGGTTAAGTCAGTACATATCAGTTATAACCATCATCGTTAATGGTCTCAATTCACCAATCAAAAGAAATACACTGGCAGAATGGGTCAAAAGGCAAGATCCAATAATGTGGTGCAGACAAGAAATGCAATGCAAAAAGAAACTCACAGACTGAAAGTTAAAGGGTAGAAAACAATACTCCACATGACAGGAAACTTAAAAAAGCAGGAGTAGCTATCCTGCTTGCAGATAAAATAGATTTCAAACCAAGACAAAGAGAGACAAAGAAGGCTAGTACATCCTTGTATAGGGAACAATCCAAGAGGAAGAGATGACAATCACAAACAAATATGCACCACATACTAGTGCACCCAACTACATAAAACAAATATTAACAGACATGAAAAATCAAAAAAGCACTAATACAACAGTAGTGAGGGACATCAATACCCCACTGTCACAAATAGATTGATCAACTGGACAAAAAATAAGCAATGAAGTACTAAAACTCAATTCAACTCTTGAACAGATGGATTTAACAGATGTCTACGGAGTGTTCCACCCCACAAAAGCAGAATACACATTCTTTTCAGCTGCACATGGGTCATTCTCCAAAATAGGCAACATATTCGCACATAGAACATGTTTAAGTAAGTGCAAAGGAACTGAAGTTATCCCCTGTATATTAGCAGACCATAGTGTGATGAAATTGGAGATCAATAGCAAAATAAACTGCAAGAATTTCATAAACATGTGGAAATTGAACAACACACTTCTGAATAACCAATGGGACACACAGGAAATTAAAGAAGAAATCAGACAGTTTCCATAATTAAATGACAATGACAGTACAACATGTACGAATCTATGGGACACAAAGAAAGCTGTCTTATGAGGGAAATCCACAGCAGTGAATACTCACATTAGGAAAACAGAATGAGCTCAATTAAACAACCTGATGCTGAACCTCAAGCTTCTAGAAAAAGAAGAGCAGGACAAACGCAAAGATCATACAAGGGAGGAAATTATAAAGATCAGAGCAGAAATCAATGCAGTGGAGAATAAGAGAATGATACAAAAAAATCAATGAAGCCAAGAGTTGGTTCTTTGAAAAAATAAACAAAACTGACAAAACTTTAGTCAACTTTATCAGAAAAAGGAAAAAAAAGGCCCAAATCCATGCAATTAGTAATGAAAAGGGTGAAATTACAACAGACCCAGCAGAAATCCAGAGGATCATCAATACCTACTTCCAGAATCTATACGCCAATAAGATGGACAACACAGAAGAAATGGACAGATTCCTAGATACATATGAATTACCACAGTTCAATGAAGAAG